CTTTTGAAGTGTCGAGCATTCCTTCCGCTTTTCGGGCATTTGTTCTTGATGTGCCCGGCTTCTCCACATCCATAGCACACAGGGCCATCCTCAACCTTTTCTTTCTTTCTTAGAAGTTTGCAGAACTTCTTCATGACAAGCTTGACTTCATCATCGTCACTTGAATCATCCATCGTTGATTCTTTGACGGCTTTTAGTGTTATCCCTTTCCTTTGGTCATTCAAAGACGGATTAAGAATAGTCGATTCATAGGTTTTTAGATTACCTCTTAGGCCATCGATGGTGACATTTGATGTGCCGATTGATTCATAGATGGCATCGGCCTTGGATCGCCATTCGGATGTCAAGCTCCATAGGATCTTTCGCACAAGATCCCTGTCGGTGTACGTCTTCTTTAATGCATGAAGATCGTTGACTATCTTGGAAAATCGGTCGAACATGTCGTCAATCTTCTCATGCTCCTTCATCCTGAACATCTCATATTCTTGGGTGAGGAAGTCAATCTTGGCTTCACGTACTTGGTCCGTTCCTTCATACGTCACCTCAAGTTTATCCCACGTCTCCTTGGCGGTTGAGTAGCAGGAGATCTTGCGGTAGTCATCAGGATTTACGGCACAATAAAGCATATTTATTGCCTTTGCGTAATTCTCGACCTTTTTGATGTCCTCGGCATCAAACTCATCTTCGGTCTTGGGGATTAACTTGTCTCCGACTTTCTTCATCGGCACCTCTTCCCCGTTTTTAATAACCAACCATAATTGGAAGTTCGTGGAACGAATATAGATTCTCATTCGTTCTTTCCAATATGTATAATTAGTTCCATCAAAAAGAGGTGGCCGTGTAGTTGATTGACCTTCTCCAATCCCTGCATAAAGATTTCTAGAAGAAGAACCCATGATCGTTTTACTCTCAAACGGTTAAGTTAGGACGTGAGTTAGGCTCCGATACCATTTGTTAGAATAAGTGCCTTCACTAGAGGGGGGGTGAATAGTGTGGCACGAGAATGTTTATAAATTTTTTCGGAATAAAAATCGCAGGGATAAGGTAAAGAGCGGAAAAAAAAAGGAGTAAAGGGAGCACACCAAGATTTACCTTGGTTCACCACAACTTGTGGCTAATCCAGCCTCCCGAGAGACTCTCTCGAGCTACACTACTTCCGTTAAGCTTACGGGTGCTTAACAAACTGTTACAACTTGAGAACTCGAGTCCCACGAGCCTCAATACACTTGCTCGGAGATACCGCACTCCAAGACTTCAACCCGAAGGAAAATACCTTTCCTTCGTACAACCAAGGGAAACAAGCTTCCCTAAACGTGTGTACAACACTAAGAACACTCAAGAACAAGACTCTCTTTAAGAGTAGATGTTGAGTAAACTATATACGCTCAAGAACAACTCAAACTTGACAAATTGGCTCTCTAAAGCTATGGAAAATAATGTTGTTTGGATGCAATGAAAATATGAATAAAGTGAAGTGAATTTGATGAGAAAAGCAGACCCAAACACCCCTTTTTATAGTGCCAAAATAGGCTCCAACGGACCAATGCATTAAAGGGGTGATTGGCTTGATTTAAGGGATTGAATAAATTTGGGATCTGCAGGATATTGGCTTCCCATCGATGTTTGGAACTTACCCATCGCTGGTAAGCCAATTTTCCTTCAGTTTTGAAGCCAACGGTTACCTACCCATCGATGGGTAGATGCTTCCCATCGCTGGGTGGGAGGTTGACTTCCAAACAAGGAAAGAATCAACCTTAAATGACTT